CCCCCCCCCAGCCGGTGCGCGGGAGCCGCCGGGGCAAAGTCGCGGCGGCCGGCCGGCTGCGCGATCTCTGGCTCCCTCGCTCGCTCTCTGCTCTCAGGGGAAGGCAAGCCGGGAAGCCCCGGTAACCCGCCCTCCAAGATGAAGAAGCTCCAGGGAGCTCACCATCGCAAGGTAGGGCACGAGGACGAGGGGGCGCACACGGGGGCGGGGGCACACCTGAAGGCGGAGTGCAGAGAGAGGCCCGCCCCCCGTCCAGGCCCCGGGAGGGTCGGGGAGGGCGCCTGGACCATTGCGAGGTTCTGGGGGAGTCCGGGCTGAGCTAGATGGCAAGGAGGGGCGGGGTCGCGGTCTGCTGGGGCAGGGGGTGGGGGGGATGCGGTTGGGAGGAGGGTTGGCAACACGGCCTTCCCCATCTGGGGGTCTGGATGTGTGTGAGGGGACCGAGGTTCGTTGGGCCGAGTCCTTCGAACAGGTGTCTGAAACCCCAGGAGGCGTGGGGTAGGGCGGCTGGGGCCAGGCGCCCGCCCCTCTCCAGCCCCCCGCCTGTTTCCTCCGGGGGCTGATTGGGGTTGGGGATGTAAGAATAGCCGAGGGCCAGCCTTGAGCTGGACTAATTACAGGGGTGGGGGGCGGGGAGCCGCCCTGGTCCTCATCGGGTGCGCTCTACCCTGAAGCAGCGGCGGAGAGCCAGCAGGGGGACGCTATCTTTCCTGCCCGCGCTTTTGCCCTGCGGGGACCCACCACCTGCTTCTTCCCCACCGGCTTTAGCTTCCCTGCTAAGACCCCAGGCTGCCCCACTGCAGGGCTGGCAGGAGACCAAGGCAGGGAGGGAGGAAATGGGAGACCCAAGGGATACGGGGGTGGGGTGGAGGCTGGCATGAGAGAGGTGGGCAAATCTGTGTTCTTGGAGCCCTGGGCCCGGACCTCAGCCCCTTCCCACCTCCTCCTGTGGGGTCAGACCTCCCGGCCTGAGGAGCCTGTGTTGTTGGGTCAAGTTTTCTCGCTTTGGGCTTAAGAGTGGGGGGTGGGGGGTGGGGGATGTGGTGACCCCACAGGGCCGGTAGGTGTAGTTATGAGAGAGAACTCAAAGGGGCTGGTGTTACTGCCCCCCCCCCCCCTGCTAATTCACACTCTCTGCCCCTGCATCTGGGGCCATCAGTGTGTGTCTTGGGTCTTCTTGGGCCCTGCCTTCCGTTCTTTTCCATTCTCCTACTCTCTCTCCTTTCCTTTCCTCCCTCTCCACTGCCACCAGACCACACAGTATGTAAATAGCCATAGTCTGTAAAGCCTTATCTCATGTAATCCTCCAAAATTCTGGGGGCCAGGTCTCTCTAGCCCCACTTTATAGACAAGGCAAAAACAGATGTGGGAGATGCAGCTAGCTGCTTTCCTAAAGATGGGCTGAGTGGCCTAGGACCAACAGGGCAGGGGTGGGGCCAGCCTGGCCTCTGTGTCCCCTCCTTGGGTCTCAAGGTGAATGGGGCAGGGAGTGAGGAATGCCAGGTATCAGCAAAGGAACAGCGGTGTTCAGAGACGAGCACTGGGCTGAAAGTCAGGGAGGGTGGGTTCAGGTCTTAGTCTGCCCTTAACTTGCTGTTTGACCTTGGGCTTGTCTGTTTCCCTCCCTGAAACTCAGTGTCTTCATCTGCACAATGATGAAGTTGGACTCCACATTTCTATTGTCTCTCGCATCCTGAAGAAGGTGTGAGAGCCTTGGCTTGGGGCAGGCTAACCTCTTCCGGCCCCTGCTGCTGCTAGTGACCTACATCTGTTGGTTCTTAAAAGAGGGGGTGCAGGTCTGGCAAACCCACGATTCTGTTTCTGCGTGACTCCGGATAGGCGGCGGGGGGGGGGGGACCGGGGGTGGGAGCTTCACACACAGGCGGAAGTGTGAAGCGACTCATTAAGCTTCCAACCCTGCCCCATTGATTTGGTCGCTTGTCTCCCAGCCAGTCCCATCCTCTTTGTGCCAGCCTCCTGGGATTCATCCATGGTGGGGTTGGGGGCTCCAGGTGGTCTTGAGATTGGCTCATCTTTGGAGGACCCAATCCCCTGTCCCTGGAGCAGGAGCAGGCTTCCCTCTGATCGGAGGAGGTGGGGGACAGAAGAGCTGGCAGCATCCTGCTCTTGGAACTCTTGTCACCATGGAAACAGAGAGCCGGGACTGCTCTGTGAGCAGAGAAAGGGCAGCAGCTTCTCAGGAGAGATCAGAGGAACCTCATTACTGGGCCCTCCTGCCAGCTGGCCTGAACAGGGTTGGGGGGTGGTCACAGGGTGACTGGCCTGTCACACTACCCCATTTCAGGGGCCAATGTTAACTAGCTGCTCCTCCATACCTCCTGGAGCTCACCTGGCAGGGAGTGATTCCAGAGAGCTAGTACCCACCCAGCTGGGGAGGGACCTTGTGGAAAGGGGCATCAGAGGGCAGGGGTGAGTTTCAGATCAGTCTGGGGGCCACTGCTACCCTCAGCCCAGCATGTCTGAGATCACCGCAAGCCCAGTTACTGGAAAGGGCTTTTTCACGCTCTTCCTCATTATCACCATCACCCATAATTATGCCAGGCTGTCCTTGCTGCCGCTGGCCCTCTGGCCAACAGCCAGCCTCAGGCAGGATCATTACTATGGTCGCCACTGTCACTGAGAGTCACCTCAGTACTGTTACCCCCGTTCTGCCACCTGAACCCATTGCCCCGCCCCTGTCACCGCAGCCAGCCAGACACCTCCAGTCCTGTGACACCTGCACTCTCCCTTCCCCGTCTTTATCCCTGCAAAGCCTCCTCTGTCACCACCCAGTTTGTGTGTAGACGCCTACTTGGCTGGTGCCGGGAAGGGGAATTTGAGGGGGTGGGGGGGAAGTATCTCATCAATAACTGATTACTGAGTCCCTGTACTAGGACCTGATCTGGTCTTCAACCACTGTAAGTGCCTCTGGTGAAGCCTCCCTCACAGACCATTAGAACCAGAAGACTAATAGATAGACCTACACTTCTCTGCATAAAGCTCAGCATGCTAGCTTCTTAAAACCATTTTCTTAAATAGAATTGCAGAATACTGTCTGTTCTAGTCCCTATTTGGAGAATTGCAGTGGGTATTGGTCCATTAAAGGATCTGACAAGTCCTACAGTAAAGAAAACTTTTGCTTTGTGTTAACCCAGTGTTTCCCAAACTTCTTCTTCTTCTTCTTTTTTTTTTTTTTTAAGTTTACTTATTTATTTTGAGAGAGAGAGTGTGCACACAGGCCTGGGGAGTGGGGGGAGCGGGAGCGGGGGGAGGGCAGAGAGAGAATCCGAAGCAGGCTCTACGTTGTCAGCCATGTCAGCGTAGAGCCCAACTCGGGGCTCAGACTCACAAACCATGAGATCATGACCTGACCCGAAATCAAGGGTCCGATGCTTAAGCAACTGAGCCACCCAGACGATCCCTCCCGAAACTCCTTTGCCTCAAGAATCCTTTTTGCCGCTGAGCACCTGTGAACATCCAAAGGGATGTGTTTTTGGAAACACTGATTTAGTCAATGCCTTCTGTGTCTAAATGGGGAAACAAGGCTCAGAAAACTCTTTCCTAAAGTCACACTGTGAAGTGGCACCGACCTGGGACTAGAATTGTAGTCTCCTGACTCCCAGTCGAGAGATATCACTGTTTTCCTATAACCACTGCTGAGCAGGAAACAGGGCGTCCTTTCTCGTCTCTCAAAACCATGAGATTTGATAATCGGCCTTCTTTGCAGCTCCATTCTTCTCTGCCAAGGGTCTGAATTTCAGAGGCAAGCAGGAAGGGTGTGGCTGTCCCTTTCTTCTGACCCATTCCAGGAGACACTTTGGGGACTGCTCTCTGAATTGTAGATAGTTATCCTGATATCTTTGGGCTCCCCTACAGGCTAACTCACCCCCAGGGCCAGCATTCTAAGCGGCTGGAGGAGGACCTCCATTTCCCAGCCCCAGTCTGAAGGGAGAATGCCCAGTGCACTTCCCCACCCTCCTTAAATTGCAGGAAGGGATCTTAGGGACCGCTGGTTTCCGTTCCCCTCTGTGCACGTATCTCTCCTGTAATGACAGGAAGATTGTGACTTTCTGAGATAGACCAAAACTCAGTAGCCTCTTTCTGCTCGTGAACTAAGATTCACAGCACTCCATAGGCCTCCCTGAGCCACTAGAGAATGAATTCAATTCCTCCCTCAGGGGAACCCGTGTTCCCTCCAAGGCCTCTTCTTTCTATGCTAAGGGCCCCTACTTCTCCCCTGTCCTCCTGTGACTACTTCTCCTGAACACTGTCCTGTCTGGCCACCTGCCCAGTGGACATGCTCCAACCTATGTCTTTCTTAAAATGTGGTGCCCAGGATAGAGTAACAAAAGGCCAGCACCACGGGCACCTGGGTGGCTCCATCGATTAAGCGTCCGACTTCAGCTCAGCTCATGATCTCACCATTTGTGGGTTCGAGCTCCGCATGGGGCTCTGGGCTGACAGCTCGGAGCCTGGAGCCTGCTTTGGATTCTGTCTGCCTCTCCCGCTTGCACTCTGACTCTCTTTCTCTCTCAAAAATAAATAAACATTTTTTAAAGAAATTTAATTCTCTCTCAAAAATAAATAAACATTTAAAAACAGTTTTTTTTAAAAAAGGCCAGCACCAGCAGTTGAAGACACGGGCTCCAGTGTCAGGAAGCTCTGGGCCCGAGACCCAGCTCTCCACCAGCCAGTCGCATAAAATCATGACACCTCCGTGAGCCTCGATGTTCCTCATGAGTGAAGCAGCGCTTAGACCAGTACTTACTCAGCTCGTAGCGTTATTTTGAGAATGAAATCAGGTGAAACGTTGAGTGCGCGGAGCGCGTAGTAAGAGCTCAGTCCACGGTAACTGTCATTAAGATCGTTGTCACATCGTCATCAACATAGGACCATCCCTTCATCTGACCTCTGTGCTAACCAAACTGAGACCCAGGTAGCTCTCAGTGCTTGAGCCATCCTGCTGGCCTCATACGTTTGTAGTTCCCTGCAACCCAGAGACGCTCCTGCGTAGGACCACGTGAGCCCAGGCAAGAGCGGTTGATTTTCCCAAGCAGGAGAGTGTCTTTGCATTTGGACCTGTTTGATTTTATATTCTTATTTTTGTTTAGGGGGGCGGAGGCATCACAGTGCTACCCTGGCCTCACCTTTCTCCCTCACCCCTTTGGTCTCTCCTACTGGCAGCCCATTACCCCAGACCTACTGATGACCCCCAGTGACCAGGGGGACGTGGACCTGGATGTGGACTTTGCCGCGGACCGGGGGAACTGGACAGGCAAACTGGACTTCCTGCTGTCCTGCATCGGCTACTGCGTGGGCCTGGGGAATGTCTGGCGCTTCCCCTACCGAGCCTACACCAACGGAGGAGGTAGGGGCCCGAGGGCCTGCCTGAGGGGCGTCTAGGCTAGTGGGCCACGGCTGGGGGTGGAGTGAGGTTTTAAGTGGCCTTGGCCACCATCTCCCCTGCGACCTTGAGCAGAAATGAAAGCAGTTCAGTTCTTTGAACTGGGACTTTGAACGGGGCTGGGAGAAGCGAGCTCCCTCTGCCTTGTCTTTTTTCATCACTCATCCCCTCCTCCGTCTCCCTCATGCCCAGTGTGGATACCTACTCGGCTCTCCCCCAAGGCCTTGGCCCTTCCCGGACCCCAAGAGATGGGCAGAGAGGCTTCCTCCACTTCTTGAGAGCAGCCTCTATCTGCCTCTCAGCAATCACTGTGCTTTCAAAGTTCTCCCATCCCCCCCTTCTCCCCCACCCCCGCCAGGACCTCACTCCATCAGTCATTCTCACTCTCAAATCTTCGATCCGCCCTCCTGTCCTGGTTCCTTCCATTCAGACTGCATACGTGAAGTCTCCCCCATCTTCAACAAATCCTCCGCCGTCCCTGCTTCGCCATCAAGTGACTGTTCGATGTCTCATTAACAGTAGCTGGGGATGAACACTCACCATCTGCCAGGCCCCGGGCTTGGTATTCTCACTTAACCCTGACGACAACCCTCCTGGGCGGCACCATTGTCCTGATCTGACAGCCAAGGCTTGGAGAGGCCAGGTTCCTTGTCCAAGGTCATCTGGTGGCCGACCCAACATTCCACCTTCCATTCTGCCTTCTCGAGAGCCAGCGTGCTCCCACCCGCCCTCGAAGCCTCCTTCCCATTTCTGCCAAACTCATTGAAGAAACACCTATTGGCAGAGCGACAGAAATCCAAATAGGAGTAGATGAGGCAAGGAAAAGATGAATTGCTGTGACCAGGAAGTGTGGGACTGTAGCTGGCCTCTGATGCTCTAGGAACTCGATAATGGCCCCAGTTCTGCTGGCTCTCCCTTTCCCTGGTTCCTGATTCTGTTTCTCTCTGGGTGCTCACCTCATTTTCTGCTGGGACAGGCTCCTTCCTTGAGGTTGGGCTGGGGGGGGGGGGGGGTGGCACAGACAACTCTGGAATGACTTTATCCTCAGAACTGTTCTCTCTGAGTGAATCCATATAGGACCGCAGGGAAGGTCTTGAACTGGCCTGGCTTAGGATAAATACATCTGAGGGGGTGGGGTGGGGTGGCTGTTGTGAGTGACAGTCCTCCCAGAGCCCTATAGTGGTGGGCAGTTCTCTAAAGGAGACAGCTACCGGTATGAGAAGCAAATGGGGAGGGATACTGGGCACACGGGATGGCCCGTGGCAGCCACAAGCATCTAAGGGGGCGTGGCAGATTGGGGCCAGATTCTGCAGGGTGTTCATTCATTTCCATACTGAGGCGTTTGCACTTTTCTCCGGCAGGGAATTCACTCCTTTATTCGTTCACTCACTCAGTGTTTGCTCGAGGCCCAGCCCTCCTCTGGGCCCTGGGGCTGCAGAGGTGGGGAGATCCCCACCAGCCCCCTTGGCTCTCAGTGAGCTGGTATAAAAGGACAGTCCCAGTCCGCATGAGAAGTGCTCCGTGGGGTCGCAGGTGTCTGCCATCAGGGCAGGGGCGGGGCCGGAGCTGGGCTTTAGGGGAGCTGACCCACCTGAGACCTTCCCCAACCTCCTTCCCCCTCGCAGGTGCCTTCCTCGTGCCCTACTTCCTCATGCTGGCCATCTGTGGCATCCCCCTCTTCTTCCTCGAGCTCTCTCTGGGCCAGTTCTCCAGCCTGGGACCCCTGGCCGTCTGGAAAATCAGCCCCCTCTTCAAAGGTGAAGCGTCATCGTCCCAGGAGGGGTCCGGGCCTGGGGGAGGCAGGGAGGCTGCCCCCTTCCCCCAACCTCTAGGCAGACAGGGGAATGAAGCTCAGAGAGGGGATGGCTTCCGGAGGCCACACAGCCTGGCCTGCAGGAGGCCTCGACCTGAGGGCAGCCCCCACTCCCCCACCCCCAGGTGCCGGCGCGGCCATGCTGCTCATCGTAGGCCTGGTGGCCATCTACTACAACATGATCATCGCCTACGTCCTCTTCTACCTCTTCGCCTCCCTCACCAGCAACCTGCCCTGGGAACACTGTGGCAACTGGTGGAACACAGACCTCTGCCTTGAGCACAGAGGCTCCAAGGATGGCAATGGAGCCCTGCCCCTCAACCTCACCAGCACCGTCAGCCCCAGCGAGGAGTACTGGAGGTCAGGCCACCGCGGGCCCCTAGGCGCCGGCAGCAGGGAGGGGGCGAGGATGGGCCGGCGTCCCCCAGGGGCTCGGCGTGCACCTGGAAGGCCGAGTGCCGGTGCTGGTGTTAGGTGGACCCCGGTTCTAATCCCAGCTCTTCAGTGACCAGCTGTGCAACCTTACCCAATATATTTGGCTTCTGATGCTCTGCCTTTGACGTGGGTCTGGTCATATATTTCTGAGGGTCACTGTGAGGATTAAGGGAAAGAAGGTACGATTGTGCCATCCAGCCTGTTGGATAATCATGCTGAGTAAATGCTGGCGGACAATCTTGATGCTGGTGACAACAGTGATAGGAACCTTGCTGGCCGCGGCTTTGCCCCGCGTGTGTGGCGTGTGGCAGGGTGACCAGAGGACTCTCAAATCTCCATCCCCCACAGCCGCTACGTTCTCCACATCCAAGGCAGCCGGGGCATTGGCAGTCCTGGGGAGATCCGCTGGAACCTCTGCCTCTGCCTGCTGCTTGCCTGGGTCATCGTGTTCCTCTGTATCCTCAAGGGTGTGAAGTCTTCGGGCAAGGTAGGGCCTTCTGGGAGGCCCTAGAGGCCTGAGGGGCTGGGAGGTGTGAGGACTTCCCGGAGGAGGCAGGGCATGGACAGAGCCTGAGAGGATGAATAGACTTCCTACTGGGAAAAAGTTCAGGGGCAGGGGCGGGGGGTGGGTGGGGGGGTGGGTGGGGGGTTGGCTAGGGATTGGGAAGGGGGAGGAAGAAAGATGTGGCGGTAAGGGTGGGCAGTGGCTAGAAACTTGCCAGGGACAGGACTGATCTGTTACTCAAGTTTGCATCCTGACCCAGTGCTTGGCACTTTGAAGAGGCTCCGTCCACAGGTGTTTGTTGAATGTTTGGAAGGTGGGTGTATGAGTCAGAGGCAACTGACCAGAACCCAGTTGTCACACTCGATTGGAAAGTCCAGAGGGTGTGCTTCAGGTATAGCTGGGTCTAGGGGTTCAAAGGATGTTATCAGGAATGTGGTTCTCTTGGTCTCTCAGGAGTGCTTTGTATCTTACCTGCTTGGTGAAAGGTTCTCCCTTGCTCCAGTTCTCAAAAACCCTAGAACTGGGTCTCACTGTGTAGGCTGGGTCATGTTCCCATCCCTGAACTGATCACTGTGGCCAGGAGGGTGGGGTGCTCTGCTTGGCTGGGTCTGGTCAGGTGCCCACCTCTGGAGCTGGGAATGGGGTCAGTCCCAGCTAGGGAAAGTCAGGTGACTGGTGTCTGAAGGAGGCCAGATGGATGCGAGGCAGACAAAGCCACGGATGCCCACTTGAGGTTATGAAGGGTGGGAAGGACCATGAAGCTGTTTTAGAAAGACTTGGAAACCTTCTGAGTGGTTTATTCACTCATTTATAAATTAGAACTTGTCCCTGTGCAAAGTGCTGGGAAGTGTCGCCCACGAGGAACAGAACCAAAAGAAAGACTAGAAAGGTAGGGTAGAAACCAATGAGACAGAGGGGAGAAACAATCATGGTGCAAGTCGGGACAGTGACGAGCTTGAGACCTGGCGTTTGCTGAGAAAGTGGCTGGAGGTTTGGGAACAGGTGGAGACAGGATGGAGGGGAGCTTGGGAATGTGCAGTGGCTGCTGACCACGCAAGGTGGGCTTTCCTGGGCTAGGGGCACGGGGGGTGGATGCATCGGAGGGGAAACGCTCATAACCCCTGCAAGGCAAGGCTTCCGGGCAAGGGGGCGAAGGCAGCCTGGACCAGGGCACTCCAGAGCTGGAGAGAGTGAGTGGGTCAGGGACTCCTTGGGAAGCAGCGACAGGACTTTGCTGAGGGATCCATGTGTGGAGGGAGGGGCGCAGGGAACAAAAGAAAAGCATCATGAATGATGGCTCTTCTCATCTTGGCCTACCCAAAGATTGGGGAAGGCGAGTTGGGTAAAATGGGGACTTCTAGAAAAGGAGCAGGGTGGAAGGAAGGTCACCCCTGCCTTCCCTCCCCACTTATCGTGCCTCAGGTGGTATATTTCACGGCCACGTTCCCCTACCTCATCCTGCTCATGCTGCTGGTCCGAGGAGTCACCCTCCCAGGGGCCTGGAAGGGCATCCAGTTCTATCTCACCCCTCAGTTCCACCATCTGTTGTCTTCCAAGGTGAGGCCCTCGGGGCTGGCGCATAAGAGGGAGGGGTCAGGCCTGAGCCAGGGAAGAGAAAGAGGGCGCCCCTGGGGAAAAGAAGGTGGGGGGGGCACCTGGGTGGCTCAGTCGGTTAAGCATCTGACTTGGGCTCAGGTCATGACCTCGCGGTTTGCGAGTTTGAGCCCCGCGTTGGGCTCTGTGCTGACACCTCGGAGCCTGGAGCCTGCTTCGGATTCTGTGTCTCCCCCTCTCTCTGCCCCTCCCATGCTCATGCTCATGCTCCGTCTCTCTCTGTCTCTCAATAATAAATAAAACGTTAAAAAAAAAAAAAAAGAAGGGGGTAGGAATCCTCCATGTGATGGGCCCCTGCTACCAGACCCTGGGCTCGGCTCTGTGCTCAACACTGTGTGTCTTTTTCACTTATTATTCTTCACCATCCTGTGAAGTAGACATTATTCTGGGGCACGTGGCTGGCTCAGTCAGAGGAGCATACAACTTTTGATCTTGGGGCCATGAGTTTGAGCCCCACATTTGATGTAGAGTCCTAAAAAAATATATAAACCTTAAGGGGCACCTGGGTGGCTTTATTAAGCTTCTGACTTTATTAAGCGTCTGACTCTTGATTTTGGCTCAGGTCATGATCTGGTTCCTGAGTTCAAGCCCCGTTTTGGGCTCTGCACTCATGGTGCCCGCTGACAGTGTGGGGCCTCCTTGGGATTATCTCTGTCTGCCCCCCCACCAACCCGTGCGAGCACGTGTGTGCTCTCTCTCTCTCTCAAAATAAATAAAACTTAAAAAAGAAATGTAAAAAAAAGGGAAGACATTATTCATCCATTTTACAGATGAAGACACTGAGGCCCAAAAGAGTGATAAGCTTAAGGTCACAGGGCTAGGGAGTGGCAGAGCCAGAATTCCAGCCCAGATCTGACTCCACACCCCAAGGAGGGCATTTGTAATTATGGAAACAATGGTACCCACGGCTTTAACACTTCTCATTTATTAACGGATGCCCGCCTGACCACGCCTTAGCACTTTGCACATACGTGGTCATTAGTCCTCACCATCACCCTCATTTCAGAGGAGGGGCCGAGGCTCAGGGAGAAGCTGTGGCATGCCTAAGCCATACAGCTAGAAAGTGGGGAGCTAGAATCAAATCCGGGTCCCTCCAACTCCAGGGAGGAGGGAAAGGGGTTCCAATGGGCTTACTATCAATATGAATCTACTGAAAATTTACGTGAGACGCCACTTCCTTCAGAACTGGACCAAGCTTAGCGATCATCTAGATCCTGGATGGGGAAACTGAGGCCCGGAAAGGGACTTTCCCCAGTCCTGCAGTGTAAGTGCTGGAACAGGGTTTGCTCCCAGCCCGTGTCACCTGTGAGCCGGGCGCCTTACCGCACCATCCCTGGACCTGCCGACTCGCTCTCACTCCACCTCCTTCCTCCTCCTTCCTTGGCCCTCTGGACGCCACGGTGTGCGGCCCCTTCTCTTTGCTCTCCATCTGCACCCTTTCCTGCCACAGGTGTGGATCGAAGCTGCTCTTCAGATCTTCTACTCCCTGGGTGTGGGCTTCGGGGGTCTCCTCACTTTTGCCTCCTACAACACGTTTCACCAGAACATCTATAGGTCAGTGCAGCCTCAGAGCCCTCGAGGCCAGAGCAGGGAGGAGAGTGGCTGGCCAGGGCGGGCCTCCTGGGGTGAGGGCGGGGCCCGCTCACTCTGGCCTGGACTTCTGTGCCCGGACCTCTCCCGGCAGAGACACCTTCATCGTCACTCTGGGCAACGCCATCACCAGCATCCTGGCTGGCTTCGCCATCTTCTCCGTGCTGGGCTACATGTCTCAGGAGCTGGGTGTGCCTGTGGACCAAGTGGCCAAAGCAGGTGGGCAGGCCGGCCAGCCCTGGTGGGTGAGGGGGCGGGGCGGGGGAGGGGGGCACCGCTCTGGCTGGGGCTGGGCCAGGGAGCACAGCGCAGACCGGCAAGGTCGCGGATGGATTTGTCCAGTGCGTGTGTGGGTTTGCGCGCACACGAACGCGTGTGTCTTTGCCGGTCTCTGGGTGTCCAAGTGCAAAGGGGGTGTGCGTCAACCTGAGTCCGGAGATAAATGGATTTCTGTGCGAGAGTGTCTTATGTTTGATCACGTCTTAGTAACTTGCCTTGTTTGTCCAAGTGAGTCATTTCCTATGTCAAGAGGTCTGTGTGCACGTGAACTGAGGGTTCAAATGAGGATGCGAATCAGTGTCTGGTGCCAGTGGACGTGTCTAAGTGTGTGTGTTAGTGGGACTGTTTGTGTCAGTGATGGTATACGTAAGTGTGTGCAAGTGAGGTTTTATGTTGGGTCTTGGGTTTATTCATGTACTCATTTTTTTTTTTTTATTTTAGAGAGAGAGCGGGGGAGAGGGAGAGAGGGGGAGAGAGAGAGAGAGAGAGAGAGAGAGAGAAGAGAATCTTAAGCAGGCTCCATCGTCAGCATGGAGCTCGGTGTGGGACTCGATCCCACGACCCTGGGATCCTGACCTGAGCCAAAATCAAGAGTCGGATGACCAACCGACTGAGCCACCGAGGCACCTCTCACACACTCACGGTTAATCCATTTATTTTATCAATCTGTGTTTCTTGAGCACCAACAACGCACCGGCCTGCGTCCTAGGAGTTAAGTGTTAGAGGTGTGCAGATAGCGTGCGTCTCTGGGCTTGGCTGAACTAGTACGGCCCGGTGGATGTAAGCGACCGCGTGTGTTTGAGTGTGCATGTGGGGGGCCTGCCCCGTGCCCCAGGCTGCTGACTCTTTGTGCCCTTGGCCCAGGCCCCGGCCTGGCCTTTGTCGTCTACCCGCAGGCCATGACCATGCTGCCTCTGGCGCCCTTCTGGTCCTTCCTTTTCTTCTTCATGCTCCTGACTCTTGGCTTGGATAGCCAGGTGAGCCTCGTGCGTGCCAGTGGGCCCCCTGTGGTGTGTGTTTGTGTCTGTGAGGTGTGTGCGTCTGTGTGTGTCCATGTGCGATGTGTGTCTTTGTGTGAGATGTGCGACTGTGTGCGTGTGCGTCTGTGTGTGCTGTGTCTATGCGTGATGTATCCGTGTGATGTGTCTGTGTGTACCTCTGGGGGTGTCTGTGCACGTGTGCTGTGAGGGGGGCAGAATTCTGACCCTCCTCCCCCCGCCCCCCAGTTTGCCTTCCTGGAGACCATTGTGACAGCTGTGACAGACGAGTTCCCGTATTACCTGCGGCCCAAGAAGGCTGTGTTCTCGGGGCTCATCTGCGTGGCCATGTACCTGATGGGGCTGGTCCTCACCACCGACGTGAGTGGTGCTTCGGGGTGGGTGGGCAGCTGGTGGGTGAGGCAGGGGCAGGTGCCCGCAGCAATGTCTGTGATCGTTCCCTGGGCTACCGGCTTGTTCCCGTTCGGGAGGAAGCTGGCCCACCCCAGGCACTCTCCCCGAGGGCAGCTCGGTCTAGGACCCAGAGTCCTGGCTTGGAAGTATAAAAGACCTGGCCTCCAGCCTGGTTCCTGCTCTGGCTGAATGACCCCAAGACAAGTGGCTTCCCCTCCCAGAGCCTGTTTTCCCACCAATAAGATGGGGGTCTACGTCTAGGATTGTTGTGAGACTCAGATAGGATGGTGTGTGTAAAGGGCTTGGCGGTAGACGGCCGTCCCACTGTTACCGTCTTGCTGTCACCGCTGGCCTGGCTGCTTCCTGCCCACCTCCTGCCTGGAGAAGGGGTCGCAGCAGGGAGCAAGACCGGGGTGAGGGAACCCCAGAGCTGTGACTTGTGTTCCAGGGGGGCATGTACTGGCTGGTGCTTCTGGACGACTACAGCGCCAGCTTCGGGCTAATGGTGGTGGTGATCACCACGTGCCTCGCCGTCACCCGGGTGTATGGTGAGAGGGGCCACGGGAGGCGGCGTTGAGGCTCCCCACCTTGGGAGGGTGGGAGTCTACTCTGGAGCCCGCCTGCGCTGGGTCCCCGGTCCCAAGGGCCAGGGTCTCCAGTCGGGGCAGTTGGGGTGGAGGAGGGGCTGCTGGTGGGGCCATTCTCCTCCCCTCCCCCGTGCAGGCATCCAGAGGTTCTGCCGGGACATCCACATGATGCTGGGCTTCAAGCCGGGCCTGTACTTCAGGGCCTGCTGGCTGTTCCTGTCCCCGGCCACGCTTCTGGTAATGGGTGGGAAAGAAGGCTGCTGGCTGGGGCCCCGGGGCTGAGAGTAGGGCCCCGCCCTGGGCACTCAGGCTGGTAGGGCTGCCCTGGCCCTGGAGTGGGCCTCTGTCAGGGCTGAGGGGTGGGTGGGCACCAGGATCTTGGTCTACTCCCGTCCCCTTGATGTCCCCAGCTGTTGTAGCCGGGCTGGCCCTAGCCCTGCATTTGGTTGGCAAAATGAGTGGGGCATTCTCAGGCCTCGGGGCCTTAGGGCGGGGGCTTTGAGGCTCGTGTGTTTGCTTGTGTCTGTGCTTTCTTGGCCTTGGAAATGAAGCAGTTCAGGCACAGGCTGTCTCAGGAATTGGGTGCTTCAGAGCTGGGCTGTCTCAGGCCTTGCAAAGGCTCCGAGGATGGACCATCTTAGGTTCTGCACAGCTAAGGTTATCTCCGACACTGGGTGGCTCTGAGCTGGGCTCCCTCAGGCCTTCGGGTAGTTCAGACCTGGGCTACCCCAAGCCCTGGGGCCTGTGCAAAGCCCACTGTGATGCTGGGGCCCCCGCCTGCAGGCCCTGCTGGTATACAGCATCGTCAAGTACCAGCCCTCAGAGTACGGCAGCTACAGATTCCCAGCCTGGGCAGAGCTGCTGGGCATCCTGATGGGCCTGCTGTCCTGCCTCATGATCCCAGCCGGCATGCTGGTGGCCGTGCTCCGGGAGGAGGGCTCGCTCTGGGAGGTAAGTCTGCCCTTGGTCTTCCCGACCCGTGGCCCGGCCCCGGGCCCACCTGCTGGAACAGAACACATCTGCACCAGCACCTTATCCAGGGCCTTGCAGGCTTTTCCAGCCAGTAGCCTGAGCTATGAATCCTGCTTGGGGTAAGGCAGTCTCAAGGGGCTTCGGGTCCTGCCCTGTGGCCCCCGGGGCCACGCGAGGCCTCTGAGGGGGAGCACACTCCAGAGACCACCGATGTTGGCCAGTGTCCACGGGTGTTGGGGAGAGGACAAGGGAATGGCCCAGGGTCCCACTGTGAGTCGGGCAGAGGTCAGGACCCAGACTCCGGTCACCAGCCCAAAGCTTCCCTATGAAACTCAAAGTCAGAAGGCAACACTGAGGGACCCCAGAGGGTGGACTGTCACTCTTCTCCCTGCTGCAGCCCACGGGTGGCCTGAGAACGGGCTGATGGTGGGAGCCCTGCCCACGCCAGGCTGTGTGAAGAGATCTAGAAAGCACAGAGAATGCAAGCTGTCTGGGCACGGGGATCTGCAGGCCTCAGAAGAGCGGAGTGGGCCAGTGGGTGTGCTGTGATGCTGTGTGACCACTGCAATGTTCTGCCCCTCTCTGAGCCTCATCACACTCTCGGGACTTCTGACGCCATGGGTGTGGAGTCCTCTGGGGGCAAGAGGCTGTCATAGTGAGCAGAGCTGAGGGAGGCTACTAGGGCCTGGGAAGAGCCTACGGACCCCCAAACAGAGCCAGCTAGTGCTGGTTCATAAGAGCTAATTGTTAAATACTCAGGGATATTGTGAGCCAGTTGTTAAACCATCGATAACTTGAAACTGACCTTGGTGGGAATATTTACACCACCGGAACTGGTGACAAATCGAGCCTCCTGTGCCCCTCCATACACCACCCCCAGCCTGCTCGCCAGCTCCCTACTTCTCCCACCTCCCATAGAGCTCCACTGCACCTCAGCTGTCCCCCACCCCACCTTCATATCTCCACCTAGAGAGAGGCTCAGAGCCCTCCCCCTGCAGAAATCACTGCACCACCCAGACCACAGGCTAGTCCTGGAGTCCAGCCACCTCTCTGTCTCCAACTGCTGTGTGACTAGGAGCAAATGCCTTGCCTTCTCTGAACCTCGGGAGCCCCACCTGTACCTCTAAAGGAAACCTGTCTCCTTTCGTGACAGCCAGGGTGTCCGCAAAGGAAAGGAGGAGACAGCCAGGTGGCGGGGACATGTTGTTGTGGGGTCAGCACTGCAGAGGACTTGTCCAGGTCCGGAGTGCCACCTTCAGAAACCAGGGCTTCTAGCACTGACACACTAGGAGGAATCCTAGGTCTGCCTTTTGCCAGCTGCATGACCCTAAGCAAGTTAACACACCTCTCTGAACCTTGCTTTCTCTCTCCTTAAAGTGAGGACAGTGACACCTACCCATAAGGGTTGCTGTGAGAAGAAAAGAGGCTCGGCAGCATCTTCAGAACTGTGAGGGGCAGAAAAGCAGAGTATTCTAAAAGTTTAGGATGGAATCAGACTGCCTGGGTTCAAACCCCAGGATGACCACTGTGTGAGCTTGGCCAAGGTGACCGACCTTGCTGAACTTTACCTCCAGATAGTATCTGTGGGAGTAGAGGATGAAAGTCATAATGCCCCTTTCCCAGGGACTCTGTAAGGACTGAAGAAGCCCACATTTAGCGTAAGGCTGGAACATGGTGAATGTTTTGTTCCCCACCAGGGATTCTCAAGGGGGCGATTTTGCCCTCAGAAGCCATTTGGTAATGTCTGGAGGCACTTTGATTATCGTAAGAGTACAGTGTGCACAGGGGATGCTCCCGGGATCCAGTGGGGAGAGGGCAGGGATCTGCTAACCATCCTCAGTGTGCAGAACAGCCCTTACGCAGGGACTCTCCAGGCCGAGACGTCCACAGTTCTCAGGTCAGGAAGTCTTGATCTAGGCACTAGTGTGCAGCTGGGAACAGACCTAAGTCCTTGCTCTCAGGGAGCTTGTATTTTAATGTGGGAGACAGACAATAAACAAACAAATACATAAAGGTAGTGGCAAGTACTATACTTAAAAAAAAAAAACCAACAACACAGAAACAAAAACAAAAAACAAACCCTAAGTTTAGGAATAGAGAATGATGGAAGGTGGTATTTTGGCCAGGGTGTCTGGGAAGACCTCCCAGGGGGGTGGGGGTGTGTGTGGGGACAGACCCCTGACCAAATCGACAAGGTGATCTATCTAGCTTTGGAAGGGGAGAGCATTCCAGGCAGAAGGACAGTCGGTGCAAAGGCCCTGAGGCAGGAGGGGCTGGCATGTTTGAGGGCAGCAAGGGGGTCGGCGAGACTGGATCAGAGCAGGTGAGGGCAGAAGGAGAGTGGTCGGAGCTGAGGTCAGGGAGGCAGGCAGGGGCCAGGACGTGGAGGCCGTGGTGAGCACTTTGGGTTCCATTCTAAGTAAGATGATAAGCCACTGGCAAGTTTCTGAGCAGTGGGGTGACGTGCTCTACAACAGTTAAGTGTCACCATGCTTTGAGTATGGAGCCATGCTAGGCCGCGGGCTAAGGGCACTGCACACGTTATCCTCCTTGAATCTGCACCCAGCAAGGCTCCACTTGATGTTGGTTGTCCGTCTGCCTTCAAGGGTCTGGGGCTCTTCTCCCTGCAGCTCAGGCAGAAGGCTTTTGGGAATGTAGTTGGAAAAGGGAGGAACCCTGGAACGTCCAGACTTAGTCATTGTCTTAGTCACCTCCCTCCTCCCATGGAAACTGGGGCTTGAGAGGGAAAGGTCAGACATCAGAGTCAGAGCGAGGCCAAATGTTAGACACTTGGAAGGTCAGCGACAGTCCTGTCTCAGTTCTCCTGCTTCTTGGCCCTTTCCCAAACTGCCCAGCTCCTTAGGACTCAGCATTTGTAGGGGAAGGCACCCAGAGTGGGCTCCTGCATTGCAGTCACAGCAGACACCATTTACTGGGCCTTGCCCTGTTCCCGGCACCCTGCTAAGTGCTGCGTCTCAGGGCCTGCCCGTGAGGGCATCATGATCCCCCAGCTACAGAGGAGGAAACAGAGCATGGAAAGCTTAAATTCCATGCCCAAAGGCCACCCAGCTCGTGACAGCAGAGCAGGACTCTCATCCAGGCGTGTGGCTCACTCCCCCGGGGAAGGTGCTACCGCCCGGGCCCCCTGCGATTCTTGCGCGGACTGATCCAGGTGCCGTGGTGAGGTCTCTGCCCGGTGCCCGGCCCCAGGAAGCACTGCACCACGAGCGCCGGCCGTTTTCACCGCTCTCCTTGCTCTGCTGCAGCGGCTCCAGCAGGCCAGCCGACCGACCATGGACTGGGGCCCATCGCTGGAGGAGAACCGGACTGGCATGTACGTGGCCACGCTCGTGGGGAGCCAGTCACCCAAGCCACTGATGGTGCACATGCGCAAGTACGGGGGCATCACCAGCTTCGAGAACACTGCCATCGAGGTGGACCGCGAGATCGCTGAGGAGGAGGAGTCTATGATGTGAGACAGGAGGCAGGCGGACAGCCTGCCCGGCCGCAAAGGGTAGCTGTGCCCTCTGGGGCTCTGAGAGGCCCCGAGGCCGTGGGAGGTTGCCCCGGGTGATGCCGGTCCCCCGTGCAAGTCCTTTCTTGTGGCCTCTGCCTCTCCTCCGTCTACCTTCTCCGCGCGTGCACACAAACCCACTCAGAGCTCAGCCCTCATTTCGCAGATGGATGAACTGAGGCCAGGGAGGAGGGACTTGCCCAAGGTCACATGGCGGAGGGGACTGGACGCCAGGCCTGCTGGCAAACCTGCTCCCTTTCTCATGTGGCAGGTGGGAGCATCTTCTCATCTCCGTTCAGGGCCCAGACTCCTCTCTTTTCTAGGGGAGGCTCCCCATACACTTCGAACAGCCAGAATCCGAGCTGGGCAGGGACGCCCAGGGCATGGCAAGGCCCACGAGGCCCCAGGCATCAAGGGTTAGCAAGTCAGGTGGGAGAAGGACCCCTGAGGACTCATGTGCCCACCAGGTTTCCTGAAGGAGGTGGGGCCTGAAGGCCCTGCAGGATGGGGCAAGTTGGGAGGGAGAGAGGAAGAGGAGGGCAGGGGATGGAGGCCCCCGTGTAACCCCCGTGCCTCCCCTGGAGCCCCGGGCAGACACCAAAGTGTTCCCAGGTTACAGCAGGGTCCAGGTGGGAATGACGAATGAGGGGGAGGGGGAGGAGGGACGTGGGGTGGGCAGGGGTTTGCATGATCTGGGTGTGCTTTTGATAGAATATCTTTCAGGGTCAGCGTGCAGGGTGGCTTCGAGGGGACAGGGCGGAGGAAGCAGGACTGTGGAGGGCAGGCAAGAGGGGCGGTGGCCTGAGTGAGAGGACCCCACGCTCCCCTCCCCCCCAGAAAAGGGCCGGCAGCCTCCCACACTGGACCCCCGCCCTCTGGTGTAGGGAGCCCTGGGCATGATTAGGACAGAGGACACAAGTGGACAGGTGGGAGTGAGGGGTCCTAGTCAGGACCCAAAGCCCCTGCATTCCCTTCTCCCTGTCCTGGCGGCCCTCACTGTCTCCTCCAGCTCCGGGCACTGCTGGGAAGTTGGCCTTGGCTGTGGACGACCAAGGCAACTAAGAGGCTTGGAGATGGTCCGCACACGTGGCTGTCTGGTCCTGATGCTGCCCACCCCTGCTCCGGGTCGCGGGTCCCCGGGGCCCAGGCATGGAGGGTGGAGCCAGCGAGCCCAGGGCAGCCGACTCCTCAGCCCCGTGGCCAGAGGCCTTGGCATCTTCAGTCCCCGGCACAGGAGGGGCTGTCCTGGGGCCCCCACTCCCCCCGGAGAGATGAGGGTGGGGTGTGCGGATGCCTGAGTAGAGCTTCTGCCCACACGGTGCTCCCCGGCGGGGCGGAGCACCCTCGTGCAGCAGGCCGGCCTCTGTGCCCTTTCTCCTGCTGTCTCCCCAGCCCATCCATGTTCCGTCCGTTTGTTGTCAATAAACACCAAGGAGCTCATCCTTCTCACCCCTTCTCCTTACCGCTGAGAACCATGAGGTGGGCAGCCCGGGGCTCTCCGGCTCCCGTTGGACGGCGGAAGGAACCGAGGCTCAGCTGTTTGCTTCCCCGGGTCCCCCGGCTTCTGACACTTGCTCTGCCATTGTGCTATGGCCGTGGTGGGTGGGTGGGCTGAGGAAGGGTGATGAAGAGGAGGAAGCCCTTGAAGACAGCTTTGCCCCCCTTGTACATCTGGGCAAACTGAGGCCCACCGAAAGGGAAGACTTGCTCAAGACTACCCAGGCGAGGCAGGAGGCCATCCCCTTTCCCCCTCCAGCTGCTTCCCAGCCTTACCCGCAGGTGCAGCTGGAGCTAGAAGACCAGGGTTGGGAGGGGCCCAGAGTTTCCCAGGCTGGTGCGACCCACCCCCTCCTGGCAGGACGTTGCCACATAAAAGAGTCCCAGGGCCTTTCAAATGCGAAGCCCAGGTGTTTGCAAAGGCTTTGACTGGGGGTGGGAGAAAAGGCCGCTGCCTATTTTGGATATTAATAAATTTCCCCTAACAAAGAGACAGGCCCCCTCCTGCCCCTCTTTGGGGCCGTAGGTGGAGGAAGAGTGATGGGTTTGCTGATTTGCTGAGGGCACAAGAATGGCCTTCACAGTTCAAGGTGCCTCTTCCCACACTCTTGGGGGCAGGCTCCAGTCTTGCTAACAGAGGCCCCTGGTGCCAGCACAGTGGCCCCAGCCCAGGAGAGGGCACTCTCCAGGCCCCCCAGCTCTCTCTAGGACAGACCCCAGGCCCCGGGCCAAGGTGCTGTGAGTACTCCTTGCCCAGCCTCTTGGGTGCAGCCTGGGGTCCTGGGAGTCCAGAATAGGCGATCCTAGAAGTCTAGGTTTCTCTTCTCCCAGATTCCCAGTCTGGATTTGGAGAATTCCAGGAGTTTGTGCAGCCCACCAGTTTCACTTCCAGTCCCTCCAGGACTCACTTCCCCTTGCTCCTGGGCCTGCGGTTCCTGGTCTGCCCTCCCTGGTCCCATCTTCCAGTCTGTCCCGCTTTTCCCATTTCCGCTGCCACCAGACAGGCTGTCCTGCCACATCACCCTTCTCCCACCTCTGCCGCCAGCGCCAGCCCCCAAACGCCCCCAGACCCAACCCCCCAAGTGCCCCCAGCCCCATTCCTTCGTTGACTTCAGATCTCCCTGGCTCAGAACAGACCCCAGCCGGGCCCGGCTGCAGTGGGAACTGACTGGGGACCAGGAACAACCTGGCTGGAGGGGTCCGTGGCGACGTAGTGGGCAGCTCAAGGAAGACGTCAGCCCCAACTGGAGTAGAACCCCAGCCTGGAATCCCAGAACGCCCTAGCAGGTGACAATCCAGTGCCTGCAGAGCCCGGCAGGCAGGGAAGCGGGGTGCGGGATCGTGCTTTGCAGAGGCTGGTCAGTGGTGGGGACCGTGGGGCACTAGAGAACAAAGCGTGCCTGTCTTCGGGGGAGGCTGACCCTCAGAAGTAGGGGTCCAGGTTGCTGGATACCCTGGCTTTTCAAGACAAGCTGGGAGTGAGGATTTTTGTGAGAAGTTTCCCATTTTTGAACATGAGCAACTGATGGGAAGCAAGTGACACAGCGTGGCTCCGTTAGGGTGGCTGGCAGGCCCACTGCTCTGCAGAGGCAGGGGGTAGTAGGGCTGTGTCCTGTGGTGAGAACGTGGCGGAGCGGAGGCCGGAACCAGGGCCCCCCCCCCCACTCAGTGTTCTGCTCCCCTTCTCAGCTGACCTCTGTGTGCATGGACCCCTGACCCGGGGAGGCCAGTGGGGGGCCCTGGGAGACAGCATATGTGCCTGGCTCAGGTGTGCTGAGGGTGCCCTGGGGCCCCTCATTGCTGTTCTAGGAATGTTCTAGAACTCATCAGAGACGGTGTTCTCTTGGCGGGCACTGGGAAGCGCTAAGATGGGGCGCTGACCACCTGCAGTCACTTCCAGTTCCAGCCTGTGATCTGCAAGAGCAAATATCTGGGAGGCCCAAGGGGGAGAGGGAAGCGGGAGGGGGCCCCGTTAGGGTCAGCCATATTCCCAAAGTCAAGTGAGGGTCAACAACCGACACGGGGGCACACCGGGTACCTTGTGTTTGGTTCTCAGGAGGCCCTGCCCCCTGTGCTCCCTTCTACCACCCCAGCCAAGTTCACCTCGCATGGTGCCCTGAGCCGGCCCAAGCTTCCTCATCCAGAGTCCTCCCCATTCATCCATGGGACCCCTATCCATTCTCTTAGGTCTATCCTCCACATACCCTCCATCCTCCACCAGGCGTGGGCTCCTCGCATCCTCAGGGAGCCTGGCTCAGCCCTACACCTGGCGCGAGCCATGACAGCTAGCCTGGCTTGCATGGGGTGCTCACGGCCTCCGGAGACACCCCACTTCATTTCTGTGCGGTTAAGACATGTGCAGCACTCTCCCTGGGGCCCAGGGCACCTGGGACTGGGGCAGGGCATCGTGGTGGGGGGCTTGTCACCTGGTGCAATCCCAGCTCTGCCCCTCCCTGGCTGTATGGCCGTCAGGGACCCATAGCATCAGGTCACCACTTTGCACATTGCGGCAGCAACTGAAATCAGTTTGTTGGTAGCTCTAGGGACAGCCAGCGAAGAGTTAAGACAGTCCCAGCCCCTCTGAATTTCACGTGACCCTGGCTTGCTGAGCCTACAGTTCTGGTTCTGCGGTGGACACTCTTCCCCAGACTCATTTTTTGCTGGTGGCTCATGGAAAATTTGGCTCCTTGAGCTCCAGGCCACTCCCTCTGGGGCCTGAGGCCTCGCTGACGCTGGTCCTGCCCTGGAAGGGCGTCTAGGGCCGCCTGCCTGCCCTCGGATCCTTGGCCAGCACCCCCTCCCTCACCCCCCCTCACCCCTCTGTCTCCGCCTGACTTCCTGCTGCCTGACCTTTTCCCCCAGCACAGAACGGCAGCCCACCCCCCTTGGCCATGCCGAGGCCTCCTCCCGGCACCCCATCCCGGATCGCTTTCTACTGGAGGGAAAGAAAGCCGCTTCCCACTGACAGCCACCGCATCTGTGAGCAGCATCCCTTCCAGAACTGTAGTCAGCAGGAGCCAAGGCAGGCTCGGACTCTGCCAGTCGGAGCCCAGTCTTGACTCGGCTGTCCACTGGCTGGACGACTCAACTGGGTCTGCTGCTTCATTGCCCTGACCCCCAGTGTCCTGACCCTCAGATGGAAGATGGGAACAATGGCTTTCCCTCTGCAGGGAATTACATGGGATAATATAGGTGCTCAGTGCATAGTTTTTAAAAAGCGATCAGTGCTTAGTGCAAACTGTGGCAGGCAGAAGGCCTGCAGGTGGGATGGTTCTCATGAGCCTGCTGTCCCTAGTTATACTAGTTAGTATCCTAGTTCAGATAAAGAAACTGAGGCCCAGCTCCCGCCTCCAACCAACAGAGGGAGAAGGAGGGTGGGGATTGGTGTGCTTGGAGCCAGGGTCAAGGCAATGGTGGAAGTCTCAGGGCGAGCTGGCATCCTCCAGTTCCATGGCAAGGGGTCTGGGAGGCTGGGCCTTAGTGTCCCCACCTGTAAAATGAATGGGTCGGAAAGCCACAGAGGGAAGTGGTGCTCATTCTTCGGAGCTGGATTCCAGGACTGGACCCTCTTGCTGGATGGAGTTGATGGTTAAGAACTCGGATGGCGTCATCAACGAGCTGGGAGGTCCTGCCAAGCCAGCAGGAGGTGCAGATTCCGGGTGGGAGTAGGGCAGCACTGAAATCCTCCAGGCTCCGAGGCTTGCTTTGACCTTGACTCGGCTCACCCGGGGTCAGGGTCTCACAGAGTTTCAAGGATTGGGGTGGCAGGAGGCAGGGGCAGGGGAGGGGCCAATGGTCAATATTGATCTAGCTGAGTCAGGGGAGTGGATGGGGAAGCGGGCAGGCTGGGGTGGGGTTTACTGATAACTGGTCCTCCAGCTCCCAGCATGGCTGTGGGAACTGGAGAATGGGGTGGTTGGTGCAGAATCCCCAGACGGAGTGCTTATCGAAATTACAGCTGCCTGGAGGCCAGCTCAGGCTTAATGCATCCAGTCCTCTGTGGGGAGGGTCTAAACATCTGTATTTTTAGCATACTCCCTGGGTGACTCTGCATAGCCAACTCGGTTCCCATATTGGGGACCGTAGGCTCAACCCCCTCGTTGTAACAACGAGACACCTGAGGTCCACAGAAGGAGAGTAACTCACTCAAGGACACACTGGGAGAGGATGATGATAATTCTCCCCTTTTTCTTGGGCGAAGGGGGAGTCTACTTCTAGATAGCTCCATCCATCGTGCAGCTTTGGCCCAAAGCCCAGGAAAGAATGGTAAGGCCAGGATGCCCAGAGGGAAGTGGCTTCTGAGACCTTGGTAGGCCCAGGTAGAGAAGGGAGGGTGGGGCATGTCCCAGGAGGAAGGACAAGGAGGAGGGGCCATTCCCACAGGACTGGACCTGCTCCGCCCCGCCCTGAGCAAACACTCCCAGCACCTGCTGGGGGATATTTCCTAAAAGATTTACTGTGGTCCAGTCCGGGGAAGGCCATTTACATTGCTGGGGACCCACCTGTGCCCTAGAAGAACACGTCCACATCAAGGGATATTTGGGACCCACATGGCCCCCTGACACTCTGGCCCCAACAGCCTCCTCCCTAGCCTCTTCTCTCCCCACCCCTCCCTGATCCACTGTGCTGGGCTCTCAGCCTTTGCTCTGGCCTCCACCCTCCCCACCATCTCACCCTGTGGGGCACGTGCACAAAGCCTCTCGGGCAATCCCAGTCGCTGCCACGCTTCTCCCGCTCCTTCTTCTGGTTCTGTACACTTCGCACCTCCAGACCCAGCCCCCACCCCAGCCTGTCCTGCGTTCTGCTTCTCTGCATGTCCCTCACTCTTGGAATGGCCTCTCTGGGGACGGGAGACATGCCCAGCTCATCACTGGGCCCTACTCAGAGCCCAGCTGGCTGCAGCAGGCCCCAGCAGGTGTTTGGAGGGGCTAAAAATCCCGAAACC